ATATTAAAAAGATTTCAATGAAATGATGTATGAATTACTCGGAATCAGTGCTACTTTCGGACAAATTAACTTCTTGTGGCGTTTGATGTCTTGCAGTCGATTTGAGAACTTTCTTTCCTCTGGCAATAGGTTTGCTTTTATTCACATTAGTCTTCCGTTTGGTTCTTTGATTTTTCACTTTCTGTGACAATGCATTCGTTTTGTTGGAAACCAATGGATTGGCCGTCGATTCGGACTCTTTTCCTCGCAATTTATTGATCGCTGTATTCAAGCGTTTGCTAAGTATTGCTGTGTCTTTGGGCTGTACCTGAACTTTGAAGTAGTTATCAATTGTCATTTGGCTCTGAAAGATAAACGCAATGATAGTGAGCATTAAGTCTAATCCAATTTACTCTATAAATATGTGTAAATAAAATCAATACTTGTTTTTCATTTACTTTCTTCAAAACAGGCAAAAGAATGGAATCAGTTTTGGTTGAACTCCAGCCAAACCTAAGGCTCGCATAACGTCTGAGTTCTTCGAGTTGAGGCATTGACCACAAGAACTTCTCCTTTGAATTGTCGACCGTTGGACTCATATATGCGTCGAATATGACTCGATTGGGAAACGAGTCGTTGAGACGAATCTTTAAGAATTTGGCTCGAATTGAATTCTCCGGTCGTTTGTCTTTGCATTTCTGTTTAGATGTCAACCAATCCTTGAAATCGACGAGTGGTTTGAGTCCATTGCCNACCAATCCTTGAAATCGACGAGTGGTTTGAGTCCATTGCCTGGAAATTCGCTTAATATCTCAGCGGCGGTGACGGCTCCCACACCGTCGACGCCATCCGTATAATCACTGCCACAAAGCAATGCAATACAAATCATTGACGAACGGCTCAATCCATATCTTGACTCGATATCAACGCTCTTAAAGAGTTCAACAAATTTACTGGAAGTGAAGAAATTCTTGTACACCGTCTGAGCGCCGAACAGAAGAACATCGCTGTCGTCAGTGATGGTACCGTCGGTCAGGCCTAACATCTCGAGGGCAGCGCATTGCGCCTCAGCTTCTGTTGGACTCACAATAAACGGAATGCCAAACAGTTTCAACAACTCTTGACAATCAGACATCATTGTGTCAGTTGTTTGGTTTGCCATACGATTCTGTTTATTCACATCACGAATCGATTCCATTAGTTCTTCGCGTGAAATACTATCAGAAAGCATCGCTTGCGAAGTACTCGGTTCCGATTGATTGGGCGTTTTCTCTGTTTCAACACTTAATTGATTCTTCTCTGGAAGAGACATCGTTTGAGTGTTAAAATCAATGCAGATATCATCGGATGCATCGAAACTGTCAAAACTGTCGTCTTCTTCTATAAGTTGTGAACTCTTTTGATTTAATTCTAAAGTTTCCGTTTCTTTCAGACTTGAATCCAGTGATTGGCACAAAGAAGTGTCAGATGGCGGACAAACCTCCACAAAATCATTATCTGAATCACTACTCACTTCAATCACTGTTTTAATTTTGGTAAACAGATTTGAGTCAATTGGGGGTTGAATTTCACACGATTTAGATTTAATCTCATTTTTGTCACAATTATTTACATTTAATTGTTGATCACTTTCAACATCACTTTCGTCTGATATTTCAATGGTTTCATGCAATTCATTCAATAGTGTATTAGATTTCAAATCGTATTCATTTGTAATAAAGTTATTCATATTTTTTATAGGATTCACATCGAGTTCTTTATCGTCTGAATGTCCAGAATTAATGTCGTGTAAGATATCCGTCACCGAAGACTTGGATGTGGAGGGAATCTGTGCAGTAATTGCTGTCATTTTAGTTTCAAGATTCTTGCCTTCAGTGCTCATCAATGAAGAAGTTGTCTGCGATTTCTTAATGAACACAAACCGTGTGTTTTCATCCGACATGAGTCGTCCGGCAGTCGATTGGCTCTCAAAATAGAAATCCTTTTTATCAAATTTCTCGATAACTTCTTCCGAGTGCTGACCATTCAATTCGCTGATTGTTTGCTCTATTTTTGACTGAAGTTTCCGTTTCTTCAGCAGTTTCTGCATTTGGTATTTGGAGAAATCGTTGGATTCAGTGGGCATTAGCTCTTGATTTCGATATCCTTTGTATTTAGCCTTCAATTCCGTGAGCACTTCGTATCGTATATCGAGAGGCAATGATTTGATTTCTTCGGAATTGACATCAATTAAGTCCAAATTCTGGATATTTCTATAACTATGAGCGACGGGCCGATTGGAATCGTCGTCCGATTCACTGTCACCCTCGCTGTCATCCTTGTCGCTCTCATTCAATTCATTCAACTCTTCACATATCTTGAAGTCACTGTTGTCTGGCATCGGGTATAACGACGATTCAAGTGATGGCAACGATTCACTGCTCAGCAACTGTTTGGCAGAACTCGAGGAGAGTTGAGACGAGAGATATTTGTGCAACACTTTGACCGACGACTCGCGAGATTTGTCCACAGCTTTCACTCTCTGTTCGGCTCTCTTCGCGATTGTGTTGCGCTTGAGTTGAGGACACATACCGTCGAAGACAAACACCGGTTTGATTCTGTAGAACAAGAGTTTGCACACTCTGTGGAAGAGTCCCAACACGTGGGCGTTATCTACCGGTTGGCCATTTCGGTGACGAAAGCCTTTAATCGCTTGATTCACCCAAAGAGACAAATCTGTTGCCAATAAATGAGACACACGTTTGAGAAATGCGTTAAATTGTATGTAAAAAGTGTTGTGAAATCAAATCACTGCAAACCTATTGCTATCACTTTGTTGTTGAGTGTCTCTAAATTGATGGGATGTCCGACACCGTCGACGACACTCCACAGACCCGTCACTCCCATGTCTTCGTGTGTGACCACCACTTAATGGGTCCGTAAAGTACTTGTTGTCCAAAAAGTAGACACAAAAAAGTTGTGATCAAAACGTTTACTGAAAATCAATAAAAATATAAGTTTTTTGTTTGCATTTCATTCGTTAACCGCACGCAGAATAATGTGTGGCATTGTATGCATGGTTTG